CGAGAGAGGGAGAGGGAGCCGCGGCCGAGGCCGTGATGTGGCACCTTCGCCCTCCCGAGCGGGCGCAGCCGGCGCGGGGCCAGCCTTCTGCTCTCCGGGTCCGCGGGCCCTAAGCGCCCGAGGTCTCTGCGTCTTGGCTCCGCGCCCCTCGTGCGTCCCCGCGTTTCCGGGAAGGCGGCATGTGGGCTCCGCGCACCGAGGACATCCTGGGTTCCCGGGTGCCTGAGGCCAGGAGGGTGCATTCGGGACAGCGGAGCAGCTCAGTACACGGTGGCTTTGGTTTTAGGGCGGGGGACGAGCCCTCCGGGGCAGCTCCTGGGCCCTGTAGCCAACCTGCCCATCGCTCCCCTCCCACAACTTCTTTTTTTTTTCTCCAGACTTCGTCCTAATAAAAAAATTACGGAAGTAGAGCCTTGTTTTCCTGGAAGGCGCAGGTTGATTAGATGCTGTCGAGGGATCGGGGCCAACGGGCCTTTCAGTGTGTGAAGACTTCTTCCTTAGAGATCCTTTGACAGCAGTGCTGAGCATCCACATTTTGGTTGAATTCAGTGCGAAACTTGTTCTCGGTGACCAACAATCTTTTCCCTTTGGCACTCTTAATCTCTTGCCTTCTTGGTATTGTTTTATCTATTTGATAAGTTAAGGCAATCAATTGAGGGAAAGGAAGAGTGACTTTAGAACGAAGCATCTTCAAGGAATTATTAATGTCCAGTTTCTTTTTTTTCTTTTTTGTTATATATTTCTTGTTTTTGTTTTTCTTTGGTTTTTGTTGTTGTTGTTGTTGTTGTTGTTTTTCTTTTTTTCTTCTAATCTCCAGTTTCTCATTTCTAAAACTTTTCTTCCGGTTTGTAAGAGTAAGCATTTCTGTAGGAAACTTGTTTTTTCACTTTGAACCTGGAACTATTTTTTAGGTATGTAAACAGAATTCCTTATCCATTTGAAATAAACATTTCCAAGAAATGAAAGACTTCTTTCACTAGGATATTCTGGTCTGGTTCCATCTTCAGAGAATCTAGTTTTTGACTATGAAAAAGATGTAAGTATGAGAGAATCTTAATTAAAGCAGGACTTAAATAAAAAGTTTATTATTTTGGGTCTATAATTTTTCACAGTGTTCAAGGTTAATTTTGCACCCCGTCCCCAAAACTCAGTAAACTTTAGTAAAAATTCTTAAAAAGGCATTTTTTCCACAAAGATGCTGTCTTCTTTGTATTCCTCTCCCATACTCTGCCTTTATTACTGTTACTTGTGTGCATATTTTATGCCCTTGGCTGAGATTTTGAGGATGGGATAAACCTCATACATTTTAAAATAGTAACGAATGGACCACTATTTGGAGGTGTGTGGAAGGTGTGGTCTCGCTGAGCCAGTCTTTTTTTTTAAAATAGTACTGCTTAAGTCATTTGCCAGTGACACACTTGAGTTGAATTTTGCTCAGATTGTGTAAGAAAAACAGCAAAACACTCTTGTTGGCAGAACTTTTACAAAGGACTGCATTTGTGAATGGTTACTTCAAGAAAAGTAAATATTTGACAGAGTAAAACCAAATTTATTCAAGTGGAATATTTTAAGTGTCTCCTTGATGAATTTCACTGGGTTTTGAGTGATTTTAAAGAATATATTTCATAGTGTAAATTTCAAAATGCAGCCTTTTATGGAAATTTTATTTTAGGTATGTTCTTATGGAAATAGAATAGATTACTTTTGTTAATAAGTGGATGGATTGCTGAAAACATTCATTGTTGAAATTCTTGCTGTCTGTAGTAATTTATTCTCTCCTCCAGGACCTGAGTGTAGGTCTTGGTTAAATGCATGACAATAGCCTGGAACGGTCACGCTGGTACACGTGATTTTGACTCTGGAAGGTCACAAAATCTAATGAAGTGAACTGTTGATAGATTAGTTACTTCTAGTGACGCCTCAGAGAATGCTAGCGTCCTGGAGCTGGGCTCCACTCCCGGAGGGCCGTGTGATTTGTCGTCTCGAGGGCCTCCCTCACTTGCTCCTGCTGCTTCAGGAGTTCCACGTCTAAGTGCTTAGAAATGACCTCGTTCACTGGACAGACAGGAAATGCCAACGGAATGCCCAAACCCGGGCCAGGTTCTGGGGCTGCAAAGTCAATTTAAGATATGGTTACTGTCCTTTAAGGGAGCCTAGTAGGATTCTAGTGGGGGGACAGGCATGAAGACAAGTGTCCTGAACTGTTGGAACCTGTAACAAAAGTCTGCACGGTTTTTGGGCGTCTTCAGGGATGCCTTTTGTGGTAAATTCTGTGGAGGAGGGTGAAAGAAGCTAATGTGTATAGTGTTTATGCATAGAAAAAAAGTTATTGGACATCTCCAAAGTATGATTGTTGATAATTTTCTTGTCATAATCAGTAGAAAAAATTTACTATTTTTTTCTTAAAAAACCTCCCGTTTAAAAAAGAAACCATGGCACCGTTGATTTTTATATTGCAGAAATAGGCTAATTTCCTATGAACCTAAAGGAGGAAGGGAACTAATTGAGTGGCCAGTTTGTGCCAGGTTTGACACTTTAACATTGCCTCAGTTAATCCTGAGTAATGACCTTGAATGGCTTCATCCTCATTTTACAAGCGGGGAAACTGAAGTTCAGAAAGATTATCCACAGACACTCTTAAGAGCCCCAGCTAGTCTGGTCTCCAGACTTTGGACTTTCCACTCTATTCTCCTAGTTTTTCAGACCTTTTTGGAAGAGAAAGTCATTGATGTCGGCTATTTTTAAGCTCATCTTTATTCTCTTCCAGTATTTCTTGTATAGTGCCAAGCACAGTAACTTGAACACAGAAGGTTCTATAACAGAAATACGCTTACAGGATTCTGGGACATCATTTTGCATCTAACTACAAGACTTCTCCCAGTTGAATGAAATACCCAGAGTTCATCATTAAAAATCTTAAGGATGTGTATTAGTAATGTTTGAATGTCATTGTTTTGTCAGTAAATTGTAGTTATTCTTTTAATAAAACTGCCTGAACTCTGCAGAAAAATGGATATTTTGTCCCATTTCTGTAATTATTTTAAATGGCAGCATATTATGTGATTATGTGGAAGCATTCTCATATTGAACATCTTTTATGCGTGAATATTCACATTTCTGAGTATTTCTTTACGATAGAATCTTATGAGTGAAGTTACTGGTCTAAATACAAACATTTCTAAGGCCTTTATTATGACTATAATTCTTTTCAGAAAGTGTTGTACTTTAGAGTACCCCTAAGCACTGTATTTTATTAGTAATTGGATGAGAGCAAAAATTAATGTGTTTAATTTATAATAGGTCAAATACAGCATTAATTCTTACCCAGCCCAAGAAATAAAGTTAAAATCAATGTTTTAGCCTTAGCAATAGCATTTGGGGAATTTCTGTCTAGTACAGCTAGGTATTTTTGCATTTTTGTTAGCTATGTCCAGTCTAGTATTTCTCATATAACTTTTTTTTGTTGTTATTGATACATACATCAGATAAAATCTGATGAAAGCTAGGGACCGTCTTACAAAATGCACATGCATACAATTCTGCATTTTATTTCAGGAGTTACTGGATCCTGAAGACCATCCCTGGATCTCGGGTTAAAAATCTGTTCTAATCTGAACCGTGGGAAGAAAGGGTCCTTGGTAAGTCTTGGCAAACTGAGTGTTGGCTTGTTCAGTGCTTGCTAATTCCTGAGTGTGCCGGGTTTACTGGGTGTGCCAAGTTACAGGGCAGTGAGCCAAGCTCCAAGTGTTAAGTTTTGCTCATTGGCCGTTCACACTGAGTGCTGGGCAATGCTGCCCCTCGTAAGCACTTGCGATCCAGCCTTCCTTGACGCCCCCAGAGTGAGTACCTTGTCCTTGGTGTCCTCTCAACACTGGTGATGTAAACAAACAAACAAACAAACAGACACGTATACTTAGTATAAAACCTTCAAGTGGTACAGAAGGATTTAAGTAAGAAGTAAAAGCCCCTGACCTCCCATCCATCGTTCTCATTTTTCTTCTGTGTTCTCTTGGACATCTAGCCTGTCGCACTATGGGCCCATCTTACTTTAACGCTTGTCAGGTTTTACTGTAAATATTTATATGCTTTTCCCTTTTGTTCCCCTTCTGGCTTCCCAAAGGTCTTAGTTCTCTCTCATTTTCTTGATCTTTTCGGAGGGGGGCTGTGGTAAATGCTCACCAATTTTAAATGAGTCGACATACATCAACTGTGGGAAGACTCTCACTCTCGATGCCTCCTCCTATCCTGGGCCAGGTCGGCGGTATTCCCACCTGAAGGACATGATGTTTTCCAAACTAGCACATTTCCAGACCGTTGCCGTGCTGCGTCGAGGAGTTCACTCTTCAGTGGCTTCTGCTACATCCGTTGCGACTAAAAAAACAGTCCAAGGCCCTCTATCCTCTGATTACGTTTTTGAAAGGGAATCGAAATATGGCGCACACAACTACCATCCCTTACCTGTAGCCCTGGAGAGAGGAAAAGGTACATTTTGAATTAATTCATTTCCATTTTTGCTTGAAACTTTTTATAAAAATTGCTTTCGTATTTTCTCAGTATACATTTTTCCAGATGCATTTAACTTTTATATTGCAGATACGGTTAAGTCATTTATTGTCTGAAGTGCTCGCTGTGCTGGGCACTCTGGGGATACAAAGGTGAACTCATTCCATCTTTGTCATGAGGGACCTTGCCAGGACAAGTGTAAAATGTATAAGTAAAGTGCTATAATACTGCTCGTTTTTTCCCTGTAACTTTTATTTTGGCATAATTTTAAAGAAAAGTTGCAATAATGGTACAAAGAATTTTCTTCTGCCTGTCACCCAAATTTCTTGAGTGTTAACATTTTACTTTTGCTTTACTTTCTCTCTTCACGCATGCTCACACACTCACATGCTTACACATGCTCTCAGGCTCACGCACTCATATACTGTCACACAAAATATGTTTTTTTCCTGAGATGTTTGAGAGGAAGTTGCAGACACGATGCCCCTGCCCCTAAATACTGAGCTTATCTTCCCTGAAACACAAGAACTTCCTCTTACGTAACAGTGAATTTTTAAAACTAAGAAATTAACGCTGACTCATGATCACCATGATCTGCTCTGCAGACCTTATCCAAATTTATTTCGCTGTCATGTGTAGCAAAAGAAAATCTCAGTTCATGGGTTACCTTCAGTTCTCAAATCTGTTTAGTTTTCTTTAAGTCAGAACAAATTCCTCATCCTTTGTCATCTTGACTTTGATGTATTTAAGAGTACAGGCCAATAATTTTGTAGAATGAACCCTAGTCTGGGATTGGCTGGCAAGGTAGTGTCTGCCAGGCTTCTCCCTGCAAAGTTACTGTTCTTCCCTTTTGACTCTCTTGACGGGACATGGTTTTAGACTCTGTAAACTTTGTGGTACATTTTTAGCAGCCATTAATGATTCTTGCCTGAATAAATAATTACTGACAGTTACCAAATGGTGATTTAATTCACATTTAACAGCGTTACCCTAATAAAACCAAAGTTTGTTACTTAACTTTGGACCAGAAGATGATATATAAGAGTATTAAACATTTTTGTCATTTGCCTGTATTTTATTTGGGACCAGTACTATAATACAGATGTATCTGCTTTCAAACACATGAGAAATCTAGATTTATAGATTACACATTTGGAAACAGTTTGGTTCACAAAGATATTCTTCACTTAAGAAGTGGAGTGTGGACTCTGGAATCTGACCGTCTGGGTTCAAGTCCCGGTTCGTGCAGACCAGCTCGGGCTAGTTACTAGTCAGGCGTCTATAGTCATGTCCCCACAGTGATGTTTTGGGTGATTCTGTCAACCTGGTCCCAGTGAGATTATAATGGAGGTGAAAAATTCCTGTCACCTACCGGGAGTGGTCATGGCACAATGCATCACACAGACCCTTACCATTGTGTTACAGTTGCCTGCAGTATGCAGTAGGGTGACACGCTACGCAGGTTCGCAGATAGTTGCTGAATGGGAACAGAATTTGTCACCTCAAAATATATCTCTTTGGCATAAGGATTATTTAAGGCTAGTTAATTTTGAGAAGCAGCAGACATGCGAGGAGCTCTGAAAACCAGAGAGAAGTCACCTTTTGTAAAAATCATGTACATTTATAAAGGAAACCTCCAGTTATTGAGGAGTCTCCCTCGTAGTACCAGGAAGAAGGGGTGACCTTACTTCCAGAAACTCTTATCAAAGCAGAAATCTGCATAGCAACCTAGCCCTTGTTGACTGTGCTTTTCCTGGTCACCCTCTGTCATGCCTGCGCCCCAACCCCAACATCTTCTGTCTTCAGATGGTACTTAAACTGGTGGCTTCAGCCATTTTGGTGACCTACTTGGTTTTCCTGGGTCTCCCATGTAGACGGAAGGTGTACATGTTATTAAACCTTCGTTTGTTTCTTTCCTGCTAATCTATCATTTATTACAGCGATGTCTCAGCCAGGAACCCAGAAAGGTAGAGGTAAAATTAATTTCGCTCTCCTCCAGAGCAACAGGCTGTACCACGTAGTCTGATGTGTGGCAGGCTACATACCATCTAGGTTTGTGTAAGTGCCGTCTGATGCTCGCATGACAACGAAGTCACCTAAAGACACATTTCTCAGACTGTATCCCTGTCTACGCGGGGGCGTCGCTTTATTTCCTTACCTCTGCCACAGGGAGGACAGCACTGCCATTGGGGATTCTGATCAGACGAGGTACAGAAGCACCTAACATAGTATGTTAATAAGTACATGGCAAAAGTTAGGTGTTAAGCCCCTCAATACATTTTAATATATATAGTCAACTTAAAACAATTGTTGTAAAATGTACATAGCTTACAGTTTTCTTGTTTTAACCATTTGGTTTGGTGGCATTAAGTAGACGTGTACAGTATTGCACAACTGTCACCTCTAGCTAGTTCTAGAACTTTATTACCACCAAGAGGACACCCCGTACGCATTAAACAGTCACTCCCCAGGCCCCCCACCCTAGAACCTGGCAGCCACTCATCTGCTTTCTGCCTCTGGATTTGCCCCTTCTGGATATTTCAGATAAATGGAATCAGACAGTAGTGGCTTTGTGCCTGGCTTCTTCCACTTAGCATTATGTTTTCAAGGTTCATCTGTGTTAGTTGTAGCATGTGTTAGTACTTCATTGCTTTTTCTTGCCGAATAATATTTCATCACATGGATAGACCACGTTTTGTTTATTCGTTCATCAGCTGATGGATATTCGGGTTGTGTCCTTCAGGCTATTGTGAATCGTGCTGCTACGAGCATTTGTGTGTAGATTTTTCTTTGAACACCTGCCTCACTTTTAGCGGGTGTATACCGAGGAGTCGGGGTGCTGGGTCATACGGTAATTTTATGTTTAACTTGTTGAGGAATCGCCAGACTGTTTCCCACAGCCGCTGCACTGTTTTACATTCCCACCAGCAACCCATGAGAGTTTGAGTTTCTCTACATCCTTGCCAACACTTGTTTTGAGAAGTGGACATGTTTAAAATTTAAATTATAAACATTTTTAAAACTTTAAAAAATTTAAATTATAACCATCTTAATGGGTGTGAAATGCTATTATTATAGTTTTGGTTTGCACTTCTCTAATGATTTGAGATGCTGAGCATCTTTTCATCTGTGTGTTGGTCATTTGTATGTCTTTGTAATCATTCGTTCTTTGGGGAAATGTCCATTCAGGTTCTTTGCCCATTTTTGAATTGGGTTGTATATTTTCCTGTTTAGTTGTAAGTTCTGGATACTGGATTCTTATAAGATAGATATGTGATTTAGAAATGTATATCTTTTTGCCAGTCTTGTTGGTTGTTATAGTAAACTAATCAACCATGACTTTTATGTTGAATTCTAACTTTAAATTCCAAACTCTAGTTTTCAAGGAGTAAAGGTTTTACTTACTATGGAGTTTATAACACCTTTTTATGTTGTGCTCTTCTCGTTAAATGTACACTTTGAGACTGGACAGATAAAATGTAAATCTTTCTAAACTGGAGTTTATTACGCTTGAACTAAAACACGCCTTAACTACAATTCAATTTTAAATAGAGGTTCATATGTAGGTATCCAGAGGGCTTGCTAGCAGTCTTAATCTTTGAACTTTATGTAATTTCATGACTTTCTAAAATTATTTTTCTTATATATTTTAGGTATCTACCTGTGGGATGTAGAAGGCAGAAAATATTTTGACTTCTTGAGTGCTTACAGTGCTGTCAACCAAGGGCATTGTCACCCAAAGATTGTGAATGCTCTGAAAAGTCAGGCAGACAAACTGACCTTGACATCTAGGGCATTCTATAATGATGTACTTGGTGAATATGAAGAGTATATTACTAAACTTTTCAACTATCACAAAGTTCTTCCTATGAATACAGGTAAAATATTTCCTTTTTATTTTTTTTATTAGCCAAGAAAATAGTTTTATTACTTTCTGATAATTTAAAACATTTTTTTAAACTGAGAAATTTTCTCTCTCGGTAGGAGTGGAGGCTGGAGAGACTGCTTGCAAGCTTGCTCGTAGATGGGGATATACCGTTAAGGGTATTCCGAAATACAAAGCAAAGATCGTTTTTGCAGGTATGTGAAATTCAACAGTAACCTCTGTGATTTAAACACACATGTCATTTACAGTTTTAATTTACCGATGAAATATTTATAATGTCTTTGCTGAATGTTTCATAAAAATTGAGAGATTTCCTTTTCTTGGTTTATTTCCAAATATTTGTGCATAGAAAGGATTTTTCTCTCCTAAATAACTCCCTGCTCCCCTCTCCTTAAAATGAGTGACTATATGATTGATTTCTCATCTGCTTATCTGAATTTTTTCCATATAATTTTTTTGTTTAGTTAGATGATCTCAGTGGTAGAACCTTTTTGTTAGGTTGTTGATGTTGGGTTATGTTACAGTGGGGCCCTGTCTCCTAGGTACGATGTGCAGTTTGATTTTGAATATTGGACGTGTCGTGTGAAGATCTTAGAAGTTGTTGGGAGGGGAGGGCTGGAGTTGTCTGGGTGTATTTCTGGGAATGGTTGAGAGGAATGACCTGGAATACTGACTGGGGACACCAAAAGTTATTTCAGATGATGTAATCTGACTTTTGGAGTCTTTATAATGATGTTCAGTTGATAAATTCTGACTTCTGAGCTTTGATTTTAATTTTTAAAAATAAAGTATGGATAAACATGTCATCGCACATAGTGAAAATTCACTCTGTTGATGATTAAAATCATGAACTATTCTGCCTTGTGCACAAATGCAGCTAAGTTACAAGCCCCGTAACAATCAAATTCAGAGTTCAACTTTAACTGCTGGCCAGCCATGCTTGGTATTTGGGGTTGACAGATTACTATTCTCAAAAAAGAAGAAATCTTTGCACAGCTCTGTGACCTGCCATTTTGGATTCTTGTGCCTTAGTTGTAGGGTCACATATAACTGTGTCTTCTAATCAAAAATGGCATTTCTGGTGATTTTTATTCTTATAGACTGTTTTCGGTCTCTTTCACATTAGCAAAGGGGTGCAGAGGTGTTTTCACCCAAGTATTGAAAGGAGCTGGTAAGTCTGGGGTATAGAGACAGGGAAGGCTGTCCCCAGCTGTGAGTCCTTTACATTGCAGACTGGGTGACAGGGATGAGACTCCTGGAGGGGAGCCAGTAGACTCGTGGTGGAATTGGTACCCTTTCTCTTAAACAAGTATAGTCACAGTCAATACGCTGCTGCTTTTGGACAGGTGAAGTGGGGCTTACTCATAGGTGAGAGGGCTTTGTAGGATTAGTGTGTAGAGACGCTATGAAGCCAAAATACAGTAATTCTGTGCTGAGTTCATTGAGTCTGTGCTGGGGAAGATAATATTAAAAAAAAAAAAAAAAAGTCACAGTCAATACGGCTGCTTTTGGACAGGTGAAGTGGGGCTTACTCATAGGTGAGAGGGCTTTGTAGGATTAGTGTGTAGAGACGCTATGAAGCCAAAATACAGTAATTCTGTGCTGAGTTCATTGAGTCTGTGCTGGGGAAGAG